CTTCTAGTATTCCAGTTTTAATTTTGAATACTAATTTGAATATTATGGTAGCCTCTTTTCTATGTTTTGTAGGAAAAACGTTTTAATTTTCTGTCACATTGACCCTTTAAAGTACCTACATATGGAGATTCATTTCGAGAAGTTAAGTCATTTTGTTTGGAGCTGCAGTACATAAACTTGTAAAAATATCGTAAATCTATCTCCTATACCAAACATAGAAATTAGAATAGAAGCTAATGAATTCAATTTTTTTTTCAAAATTAAAATCAGACTAAAACTATATTAGTTTTTCGCCAGCTTATTGGCATTATTTATTGTCGCGTACTCACGTAAGTACAAAAATAGCCATTGAAGTAAAGTAGAACAAAATTATATGATCATAAACCCCTCAACAATTGGCGTATAACGAAATATTTAATATAGATTTATTTATAAGACCAACGTATAGACGTAGACCGCAATTATTACCCTACGAAATACCTCTTCTCTCACGACACCCAAAACTATTGATTTATGATATTATTTATATCTATATATGATATTATTTATGTTTATATATGATAATATTTATATTTATATATTATATTATAATATAAATGTATGTGATATATGCAGAACTGGAAGTAAGTCACTTTTTTAACTAAAAATTATTATTTTTTAAATTGAGTCACTTTAAGTCACTTGTTTTCAAAATGTACCTAAATTTAAATTTGAACGGCATAATATTATGGCGACCAACTTCATATTTGAATGTACAGTAACATGCGAGGATCGCGGAAAAAAAAGTCCCGATAAAAATGAATGAAAATATATCAAAACTGAAGTATAAATATATTAAAATTGTATTGAAAAATACATTTAAGTTACATAAAAAAATATATAATATTGTAACGTGCCAACTACTTCAGTTGAAATGTAGGAAGTATTTTGAAATGAATGACGAAGATGATTTTATAAGTTGTATTTATTGTACTCAAATAAAATAAAATAAAATTAAGTAAAACTTTTGTAAGCGAGATGTGACTATGTATAATATTGGTGTCTGCTCGTCTGATGGACGCTTGTTCATCAGCTCTCCTCCAGTGGCGTAGCCAGGGGGGTGGGTGTTTAAACACCTCCCATAGACATTTCCCCCTAATAAATATATTGCTTATAGGGTTCGGGACTGCTTGCATGTTTCATTGTAGTGGTAGTAGGTTATTTTAGATAAGTTATAAATTTGTCTTATCAAACGAAGTTTGAATTTGCAGATTTTTGCATATTGTAAGAAAATTGTACATTTGAGCGATTTTTCGCATATTTGTGCATATTTTGAACTTTTTTAACTTAAATGTAGGTACATACAATTGTTGGGAAAAATCATATTTGGATAACATTGAAAAATATCTTTAAAAATAATATGTTTGGTTAGGTACAATAACAATATGTGCTAATTTTGAGATTTGGGGAAGCCGAAGCCTAAAACCATACTATTATAAAATTTAGTAAATGTTTGGGAGGCCTGTTAAAGACACTTAAAGTTGTTGGTGGAGCTTGGCTAAGGTTGGCTCTATTTTCGCATATGGTGCGTAAGACTTTATAAGTCTCTTTGTGACAAGACTGTGTTACAACTATAATTGATATCTAGATTCTAGATTGTACGAATAAATGAAAATCAGTAGATATGTCAATATGTGTTCGTTTATCACGGTGTTCGCATATCACATTATTCATTATTAGGTACTTATTTATTACCTAGTATTTTATACCACCATTTTTAAAAATCAAATTTTATTTCACAATAGTTTAAAAATGTCCAAAACATGCAATAGTGTCCTCCGTCCATCATATTAATCAATATGTACCTATATGCATGGTATCACTATACCTATATTAAAATTTGTATACCCGTACTTAAATTATTTTTATCATGTTTATATATACACTTATTTTTTAGTTTTTTATTAAAAAAATTGTAATATGTTTTATGAATTTTTCAAAAATAATATAAAAATGTAGCTGCATATATTCAAGCATATTTTGAAAATTTTTACTGCATATTTTGATAGTTTTTAGTGCAATAAGTCAAGTCCCGAATCCTAAATTTATTTATATACGAAAACTGTAAAAACTTGGTTTTAATCTATACTTAAACACCCCCCATTTCATAATTCTGGCTACGCCACTGCTCTCCTCGATGGATCTCTGTCCCTGTCCGTTCCATTATTTCACATGACCATACATGGTCATCCCGCGGTTAGGCCTAACGTGATTCACACGCTTGCACACGCCGGATGTCTACATATATCGGTTATTGTTATTGTACATTTGTGGTGTTATTTAATATAACAGCACAAATCTAATTTATAGTATTTTTAGAATTATTTATAAACGTAGTCATATATCTATTGCCGCACGCCGCTCATGGTCACGCGCTCGATATTACTACACACGTACTGTATAAGCGGTACCATCGACATTATTATTATTAATGTTTACAAGCGCTCGCGTATTATATTTATTATTTACGCGGCGCTTATATTATATGATTACATACATATTATAATGTGATTTAGACAAGTCATTTGGTTTTGGTAAGATAGTCACAGCTCGCTACAATATCATAAAAAATGTTAATTACTTACTTAAATCACATATTAAAATACAATAAAATTTAATTTAATACAAGTCCAAAATAATAAAATGTAATACCAATAATAAATACAATTATTATAGTACCTATATAATTATAATAAAAATGTAATATTATAATTAATTACACATCTTTCTTGTGTTATGACTTACGGCTGTTAAAAAACATCAACATTTTTACAAAAATCGTTGTCGCCCGGTAGTTAAATACATCATCCACTAGGACTAGGTGACAAAAAGTTTTCTCTGGGCGACATTTCTGTTATAGGTATTTCAGCCACTTTCTTGTGTTGTATTATATACACATAATCGGTATAATAATTATGAGAGAAATGCAACGACAAAAAATTGACACTGAATACGTGTCATATAATTAACGAGTTAAAAATGAAAATTAAGTTAAAATGTTAAGTTAAATAATTCGTTAATTTTTTTTGTAACTAATGTTTAACTTAACTGTTGTATTCTTAACAAATTTAACGTGTTAACTAATTTTATACAGATTTATTTAAATTTAGTTAAATTATTAATTGTATACCTACTAACCATTTATTTATAATTTTTTTGCGTAATGAAATATTAGATAGGTATTATAAATCATAAAAATGTCCAAGAATATAATTGATTTGTGCGAATTTATAATTATTTTCTATTGATATATAATAGGTATTACTATATATTAGGTATGTATAGTATAATATAGTCGTAGGTATAAGTAGTTTAATATACAATACGAGTTATATAATACTGCTGGGTAGTGATGATGACTATATTTGGTGTTACTAATTTACGAATTACGATTAGGTGCCTTATGTCATATAAGATGGTGTAAATAATAAATGCTCATAATTCACTGAATAACTTAATATATATATAAAATTTATATAACTCACGTGATCTGCTGAGCGTAAATTTGCAATGTTATGTACTTCTAAGATGGAGATAACAAATATCTTTGTAGCGTCCTCTTAATGTATAGTTACATAATGTTAATATTACTTCAATGAGATTTCAATTGAGATAGAGATGACGAAAAATTAGTGGTACCTATCGATACTTACCAAGGTATAAAAATCAACTGCAGTGCATAAGTACCTAATATATACCTACTACCATGAAAAACTACTTGAACATTATGAAATTTGAAACAAAATATTGACTCATCAAGCTTCGAGAAAAAGTTTTTATTTAATTTAATGCTTGATATTTTCAAGACCACTTTTCATTAATTTTTTTAAAGCGTTTTAGTGTGAGAAAATATATAAAAATATTTGTCTATAATTCAGTTTAGTTTAATTCAAAAATATCATGTATTTTAAAAAATAATAAAATATCACTAATTTAATGAAAAATTGTAATGTAATTAATATAACCATAAGGTCAAATATATTTTAATTTTTATCTCTTTTCAATAACTTATTGTGACATTATTTGTAAACTAGAAATATTTAATTAATTTAAATATTTGAAGTTATAGATACTAATATTAATATTTATTATATGAGTAGCATATAGCGGCAGTTTAAATATTATGGCTAATATACTATATAAGAAACTGTAATTTACGAATAAAATATGTTACTTATTGCTATAACATATTCATAAAATATATTATAAAGGTTGTAGGTACCTACATGTAGTTGGATTTCTGAACATTTTCAAATTTTCTAAAAATGGGATTGAAGTATTTTTGTAAATTAACGCAGATAGCTAAATAAGATTGGATAAAAATGAATATAATATATATTTGCGAGTCATAAATAAAATGTAAAGCTACCTTATACATTTTCATGGACTTCAAATAGGCTTCTCTGTATATTATAATATATTCAAAAAGTTTGTAAAGCTTGTTAATCAACAATAATTATATTATGAATATAGGACCACGTTGGATGGTTGCATTATTTATGTTAACATCGGTATTTTTTTTTGTTAATATAATAAAATCACTTAATGTTTTTACGACTGTTTTATAAGTTTAAACAAAGCTTAAAGTTTTGGTTAGTAAGTACCCACAAAACTACAATACTACATTATAGTTATTAATATTTTAACAATATAAAAAACTATCGTAAACACTAAGACATTTATGTCTATAATATCAGAATGTATTATTGGTCATTATTACAATTATAAATATTAACAGTTTTAAATTCAAAAAATCTACTTTTTTCTCTTTTCGTGCACGAATACAACATGGTTTCTTTTAATATATATTTAATGTATAGAATCAGAAAATTTATTCGAATTAGATTAGTTTCTATACTTCTATTTATTTTATTTGTATCTGTCATACGCATAATTAAAACTTGATCCGGAATTTGATAGTATACGATGTCCCAATGAATAAAATATAATTGTATCATTGTATGATTGCAGGAAAACTCGTAAACTCGAAAACTAGGTCCATCGTCCCGGTGGATCTCGATTCAATAGTATATTGGAATGCCATGATATTGAGTGATTTCTATAGAAAAATAAATAACACCATCAAAGCTTCAGAATATGAAATAATTTCCTTGCAGTGGAAAGAGGCAGTGGCGGAAGTTCTTTGGGATGAAGAGTTGGGGTCGTGGTTTGACTTTGATTTGATCAATAATATAAAACGAAAATATTTTTACCCAACAAATATATCACCTTTATGGACTGGCTGCTATGATGAGAAAAAAACAGAATACTTTGTGACAAGGGTCCTTAAATACTTAAGTAAGACAGAAATATTGGAAACAAAGGGGGGCATTCCGACCACCATGAGGCTGACGGAACAACAGTGGGACCAGCCTAACGCATGGCCCCCCCTTCAATATATAGCGGTGATGTCTTTACACAATACAGGAAATAAAGATCCGCAAATAATGGCAAAGAAAATTGCTCACAAGTGGTTGTGCACCAACTATGTGCCTCACTACAATTATACAAAAATGTATGAGAAAGTAAGTTCGTTTTGAAGTTATAACTGAATAAAACAATTTATCGGGTGGAAAGGGGATACTGTACGATTTTATTTTAATTTATTCATTATAAATATAAATTTCATTAAGCCGTTTTTGATTATCAATTTATATTTATAATTCACAACGATCATAACCATTATAAGGGTGTCGTTATTAAAACAAAAATGCTTAAAGGTGCTAAAAAAATGTGTGCACTAAAATGTCGATTGGTCTGCAGGACAGTAATTGAAAATGTTTTAGGTGGTTTAACTGATAGGCAGATATCACGTGAATTGTAGACGGAACATTTATTTAATACTTGTTACTACATCTGCAGACTTATTTAAATAAATAATATTGTCGTTGGTTATCGTGTATACTAATTCGCCAAATGTTTTGACAGTATCGAGTGGATCTTCCTGGGCAAAAAGGATTGAGCTCTGGAGAGTATGAAATCCAAGATGGATTTGGCTGGACCAACGGCATCATATTAGAATTTCTCCAAATATACAATTCCACGGCCTCAACAGAAGATTGGAATGTAACTGCACCAGACTGCTATGGTGAATGGAAGAAACTAAAAATGTTAAAGGAACTACAAATTGTAAATAATAATAATAATACAAATAAAATAGATAATAATTGATGTAAAAACAAATTAAAATTAAACAATAATAATATATAATATTAAAATTATAATGTATTTGATTACCTTGACTCAAACTATAATAGGAAGAAAACTCTAAATTTGTATTTTTAATACAAGATGATAATTATATTATATCCATATTTGGTTGCAACTTACTTGTTGAACCTATATTATAAATATGGTATAATATTAATCAACGAACTAACAAATTTCTAATTTTGATAGATAATTTTAGTAGTTTTACTATAGTTTGTCAATATTTGATTTTAAATGAAACGTTATCGTATAGCTATGAGTAATTAAAAAATGTTTTGAATGTATTTTCTTATGGTTATTAGTGGATGGTTTAGAATAATTATATGTGACGTCAGTCTTAGATTGTTTATTAGAATTTAACAATTTTGTTATAAATATTTTTTAAATCAGACATTGATTTTGATCTACATTTCCAAATTTTTAAGTTACTTTAACAAATATCCGGAGCTAAAAATATGTGATAACACATTGACAATAGAAATGTATACATAGTGTGTTTCAAATTGTGTTTCAAATTGTATGTGAGCATATTTTCCCATGAAATATTAAAATTAGGAAAAAATTATCTACCTAGGTATGGGTTTTAAATCATAAAATGGTTTTAATTCATATTATTAATATAACATAGACAAATTAAGTAGATATTTAATAGGTTTTTATTAATTAGAAAGCGGATACCATTTAAGATTAAAAAGGAAATAATTTTTTAAATAATATTGACATTCATGGACAGCAGTGGCGTACCCAGGATTTTAGAACTGTGGGTCTCCCTTACTTACAAGAGGCCACTGTGTAGAAACATCAACCAACTAGGACTTTCATTAAGTCACACAATGCGCTTGTCATTTACCTTATTATTTATTTACTTGTTTACATCACATTTTGATACCAACTTTCAATATAATTAAATATACTACTTGAGTAAAGTGATGTAAATTGTATATTACAAATTGTATGATATTGTATTATACACGCGTATTATACGTCATGTCAAAAAAAATAAAATACAAATGGTATAAAAATAAAATCTATGATAAATGGTAGATCAATAATAAAGAGAAAATATATGCAATACATAATGTTTCAACTGATAACAGTAATTTATATAACGACAGAGCACGGCCACACAAGTACCTAACATGGTTATTGGTAAGTATTAGTCACAATCATAGGAAAGAGAATATAAAGATCAACACCAAAGAATTATTCTAGTCATAGTCCATAGATCTATTAATCTAAGTTCTATGATTCTAGTCGTAAACATTTGAAAATCGTTCGTAAATAGTAGTCTGATATCTTACTGATAACTGATTAGTCGTAAGTCATAATCGTGGACGCTAGACCGTAGTATAATATTCTACTAAATTCGAATAATTCTATTTAACTATACCTACAGGCTACAAGTTACAATTAATTGAAGTTACTAAACGTTAGTTACTAAATTTATTTTTACTATGGGTTGACCTTCAAAGCAAAATAGGTACTATTGAATTCAAATTTGAACTCAAAACTTAGAACCAATACATTTTCATATATTTTCTATTAGGTAGTTATGAATTTATTAGCAGACTGCCATTTCATAATTTAATAATCAAATGTTTCTTTATTCATTATTCATCAATAAACTGAAATATTATTGATCTTACATTCTTATTACACTCTGGTAGCCATATATTTAACAATTATCTAACCTTCATACGATTTTTGTAAAATACTGTATTATACACGTAAAATATATGTATAATACACGTCTTATATACAATTGAAAAATAAAATACGGTATTTTTACATCACTGCATGAGTCATAACAAATTTTTAAGTAAAATGAAAAATTTACATACAACCTTTGGCCTTTAGGCTTTAGTTATTATTAATTAAGCGGTTTTTTTATTTGTTGCATTAAAACTTATACTCAACTAACCAATTTACCTGAAATATTTAAATCATTTTAAGAAGGGATTGTACATATTTGTTATTTTATATTTTATTTTTATTTTTAGACGGCTAAAACTTCTTTCTGTGCAAATTTTTTTCCGGACTCATTGTCTGGAAAAACGTTATCAGTATTATTAACCTGGTTGACGAGGCCCTATTTCAACAAGAGTTCATGTAAAAATACATTTAATTTAATTTTCATATATCTGTGGTTCTGATTAGGTGTTAATATAGTAGACGGTAAATAGTAGGTGGTAAGAAAAACTATAAATAGAAAAATGTTCAATAAACAACAGTATCAGTTTATGTTTTGCGAAGACCCACTTCACAGCCGCACGTACAGTAACTACGCAGCGTATTATACATATTTTTATACTCGTGTTTTTCGAATTAGTTACATTACAATAATTAAAACTATTTTGTACGAGCTATTTTACTTCAATACTCAGTCTTCACTTCTGTATATACACCATATTAATGTACTTATACATTTATAATTATATAATATATTTAAATAGAAACATACTTGAGCCTGTGTACATTTTATAATTTATAAATTATTATAATTTAATATTGTTTATTATTGAACAGTTCATAATTTAAAAAAAAAAAAATTATTATGTAGTTTGCCATTTCGAGATGCCACATTTACTGGGAAAACAACTGTGGGTCAGCTGACCCCCCCCCCCCTGGGATCGACTATGATGGACAGTTTCATTTTGAATGCACCACCTACACATACAGTAAATTAAATAGGTAATTAAAACAAAAACGTTATAATATTTAGACGCTTATGTCTTATTTTATTGTTTAGTGCCTCGTATTATAAGACATTGTTACGTTGCTTGTGAAATTGATTCCTTGCTTATAAGTTATAGGTACGTCGAATAATATAACTATGAAAACAAAATAATGTCATTAAACGGTGTTATACTGTTATAGGTATATTTCTAACTGTCATTGATGATAATTGATAACCCATTTTAAAAGTAATAGTATTATCTGATTTTACTTAAAATATCAATAAAATTTTATTTGTTAGTTGCGAAAGCTTGAAAATTTAATAGAAGGCTCCTACTATATTGTTACAATGGCATTTGAAAAATATTTTTTTAAATTAAAAAAAAATATTTAAGTAGGTATTTAAATATTTTAACATTTAAAAATTATTTTTCCACAGTTTTTTTTTTATAAGCATTTAAAGTTCAAAAATTGACAAAATATGGAAAAATCACGATAATTAACAAATTATTTTGAGTTAAGAATTCGTAAATTTCTTATAAGAATATCTACCTTTATCAAAAAAAAAATGTCTATAAGAAAGTCAAATTAACTTATATTGAAAGTTGGTATCAAAATGTGATGTAAACAAGTAAATAAATAATAAGGTAAATGACAAGCGCATTGTGTGACTTTATGAAAGTCCTAGTTGGTTGATGTTTCTACACAGTGGCCTCTTGTAAGTAAGGGAGACCCACAGTTCTAAAATCCTGGGTACGCCACTGCTATCCATGAATGTCAATGTTATATGAAAAATAATTTCCATTTAAATCTTAAATGTTACCCAGTACTCTTCATATATCCGCTTTCTAATTAATATAAACCTATTTAATATTTAGGTAATTTATCTATATTATATTAATAATATGAATTAAAACCATTTTTGCATACCTAGGTAGATAATTTTTTTCTAATTTTAATATTTCATGGTAAAATATGCTCACATACAATTTGAAACACACTGTGTATAAATTTCTATTGTTAATGTGTTATCACTTATTTTGAGATCCATATATTTGTTAAATTAACAATTTGGAAATGTAGAGCAAAATCAATGTCTGATTCAAAAAATATTTTTAACAAAATTGTTGAATTCTAATAAACAATCTAAGACTGACGTCACATACAATTATTCTAAACCATAAACTAATAACCATAAAAAAACACATTCAAAAAAACTTTTAAATTACTCACAACTATACGATAAAATCAAATATTGACAAACTATAATAAACCTACTAAAATTATCTATCAAAATTAGAAATTTGTTAGTTCGTTGATTAATATTATACCATATTTATAATATAGGTTCAACAAGTAAGTTGCAACCAAATATGGATATAATATAATTATCATCTTGTATTAAAAATACAAATTTAGAGTTTTCTTCCTATTATAGTTTGAGTCAAGGTAATCAAATACATTATAATTTTCATATTATATATTATTATTGTTTAATTTTAATTTGTTTTTACATCAATTATTATCTATTTTATTTGTATTACAGTGAGTTCCCCTTAATGTGATCACTGCTCTATAGAATCAACCGTTTATTGGAATCAAAAATGAAAATCCCAAACCAAATATTATATTGAAAAAAATATTATGCTTTATGGAATCAACTGGTTAATAGAATCAAAATGGCCTGAACCAATGTGATCACTTTAAACGGTACTCATTGTATTATTATTATTATTATTTACAATTTGTAGTTCCTTTAACATTTTTAGTTTCTTCCATTCACCATAGCAGTCTGGTGCAGTTACATTCCAATCTTCTGTTGAGGCCGTGGAATCGTATATTTGGAGAAATTCTAATATGATGCCGTTGGTCCAGCCAAATGCATCTTGGATTTCATACTCTCCAGAGCTCAATCCTTTTTGCCCAGGAAGATCTACTCGATACTGTCAAAACATTTGGCGAATTAGTATACACGATAACCAACGACAATATTATTTATTTAAATAAGTCTGCAGATGTAGTAACAAGTATTAAAAAAATGTTCCGTCTACAATTCACGTGATATCTGCCTATCAGTTAAACCACCTAAAACATTTTCAATTACTGTCCTGCAGACCAATCGACATTTTAGTGCACACATTTTTTTAGCACCTTTAAGCATTTTTGTTTTAATAACGACACCCTTATAATGGTTATGATCGTTGTGAATTATAAATATAAATTGATAATCAAAAACGGCTAAATGAAATTTATATTTATAATGAATAAATTAAAATAAAATCGTA